CAAAGGTTTCTACACCTTTACCAAAAACACTGAAAAAGTGCTCAGTGTTGCCTTGAGGCGGCTGCCACCTACTCCTGTAACCGAGGTAGTAGAGGAACTGCGTAATTTGGGACTGTCTCCGCTCAGTGGGTCATTGATCGGTTTGTTAGGTCATCCCTAACAAACCGATTTACAGAATCAACTTTCCGGCTGGTACCAGTCTCGGCGAAGTAAATAAGATTGGGTATCTGTTTTCCATCAGAGTTTATTGGGAAAAATTTTTCTCAAATAAAAGGTACACGCAGTGTTTCAGGTGCCAAGCGTTTGGCCACTCAGCTTCGAATTGCAATTTGGCGCCTAGGTGCGTCAAATGCGGTGAAAACCATCACTCGTCTGAATGCAAAAAATCCAGAGACTTGCCCGCAAAATGTGCAAACTGCAAAGGCAGCCACACGGCGAACTTCTCGGGCTGCCCTTCCCTAGAAAACTACCTAAGACAAAGGGACCAACCCGCCTCGTACTTAAGGCCTAGCGGCCCTAAGCCTTCCTTCTCGGAACCCCTGGGTTCTCAGCCACACCTCACGGGTATTCTCAGACCGGGTTCCTCTTACTCGGACGTACTTAAGGGTTCCAAACAACCGGTCCTTAAAAATAATAATAATGCAAATTCTGTAAATAACAGTATCAACAGGTCAGGCAATAAGGGATCTCGTCCTGTGGGCGAGAGCTTAAGTGAACTTTTCGACGAGTTCAGCACGCTCAACGCATTGGTTGACGTGGATTTGATGCTCAGCACTGTGAGGGTGTTGAATGATAGACTCAAGAACTGCTCCAATAACAAGGAGAAATTCCAGGTATTCCTGGCAGTCCTAAGCAATCTCGACTAAATGCCGGATTTACCAAAGATTATACTTTGGAACATGAGGTCGTTCAGGAAGTACAGAAATGAACTACTGTTTCTGATCACAAAAGAGCAGTCGGACGTTGTCGTCCTCATGGAAACGTTCCTGACTGCTAACGATGCTGCCAGTATACCGGGCTTCTGCATGTATAGGCAGGACAGGGATTCAGGTAAGGGTGGCGGAGTCGCCATTCTTATCAATAGAAACATTGCACACTCTACTATTGCCCCAAATAGGATCAGTGGAATTGAATTCTGCTTCATCAAATTGATCAATCCAAAAATATACGTCGGGGTGGCTTACGTGCCTCCTTCGGTGAATATTACACCGGCTATTCTTGATGTCTTGACCGGGGTGGGTTCTCCTTTTATACTTGGCGGTGATTTTAACGCAAAACACCGTGCATGGAATAATCCCAAGGCCAATACGAGCGGGACCATCCTTTTTAAACACCAGTTAAATAATCCCTACGAGGTGGTCTATCCAGACAGTCACACTAGATACGTGCCGGGTGTCAACACATCGACACCTGGGGGGGCAAACCTACGTATAGCGAATTGAAGCACAGTTTCTAGCGCCTCCTACAATTGTTGTATGAACTAAAATGTGTGAATGTGTGAATGATCACACGTGTGCGTGTATACGTATATCCCATATATGCCCATAACTATACTACATAAGAAAGTGAACCAAGGAAAGAGCGGATGCAATTCAAAGAGTACTATTTCAAATAATATAGGAAGGAATTTAATGTTTTCCTACATCGTTTGAAATAGTAATCTTCGAATTGCATTCGCTCTTTCCTTCGTTCACCTTCTGAAAAATATAAAGGTAATTATAACATAAATGATACAATTGAATAGTTATTTATATAGGCAAAATTTATTTTCCGTTTTTCTTATGTGAATATATAATATACTTTATATATATTGAAGTATATGTCCGACGATGTGGCTGGAATCCTGGTCATCTCGGTCCTCTTTACGTGGTTGGAATCTGTAAAACATGAAAAATACAATTTTTTATAATACACTTGCCTAAATAATATAATATATATTATAATTTATATTATAATATTATATATATAATATATTATAATTATATTTATATTATATTATAATTTAGAGTATAATTTATTATAATTTTCTTACAATAATGTATACATACCGAGAATGAAAAGGTAAAATTCTTTCCCTTATTCTCCTAAAGCCTCTTATGCCTGATGAGCCTGGTTATCCTCTCACGTTGTTGCTGGAACCGGTAAAACATGAAAAATAAAATTTTTTATAATGTACAATTGTCTAAATGATAGTACAATTTATTGTAATTTTTTTACAATAATGTATACATACCTAGAATGGTAAGAAAATATATTTCCTCTTCTCGTGCGTTTCTTGTCTGCACATTACCTGCACAGAAAGAAATCAAATTTTTAATAGTCATATCCTATTTCAGAAAAGAAGTAATAATTATAATATTGTTAGTAATTATCCTATGTTAAGACATGTTGAAGAAAAGTAATATGTTTGTTATTTGAGCCGTACTTTGGAAAATTATAATGTAAGAAGGATAACAATTGCATGCATGAGAGCCTATTGGATCTGTTGGGTTATTAATATTGGAAATATACTTATCTTCTTTATTTGCAGTATTTTTAATTCTTCTTCTTTCCCTTTAAGAGCCTGGCACTACTTCGGACACTTTAAATTACACCACCACTGTAATTTAAACATGACCCGATGATGCGGATTTTAATGGTTAGGATGAAATAATAACACCGAACCTTACTTTTTTCCTTGGCTTTTCGCGCCAAATGTCAAGCTATAATGGTGTGTTTGTTGTGTCACTGACACACTGTAGGCATGTATTGTGAAGTCACTAGCGCCTCCTACAATAGTTGTATGTAACTAAACATTACACCGATAGCAATACGAATGTGGTGGCGCTCACTGATATATTTTAAAGATGTGTCTGTGAGATTTACTAGCGCCTCCTACAATTGTTGTATGAACTAAACTTTGCTTCAACTCGCCCCACTTAGGTTTGTCCCCCCAGATCGACACTGGATATTTTTCTCTCATCACTCGATGTGGCGGTTAAATGTAAGGCACTGGATCCCGGTCCTTCTGACCATACCCCTGTTGTATTGTATCCAGACATCCTGGACCTAAAATCAGGTATTGACACGGTCACCGACTGGCAAAAATATAAGTTGCTCACCGCAAACTATAATCTCACGACTGATTTCGGATCGGCCGGCGAGGTCGATGATGCGATTCGGAGTCTTACGTGCAAACTGCACGCGGCGAGGCGTGCCGCCACCACTAAGTTGGACACCTCTAAGACTAGACACAGGTTCTTACACAATGACTCTTATCTTCAAACACTTATTAGGAGACGAAGGAGAATTAGGAAACATGCTCAAAATATTGGGGTTTCCTATTACTTCAATTCGATCGTAAAAGATCTCACAGAAGAAATCAAACGCCAGATCTCGGGTCTCAGAAATAAAGATTGGAACGATAAGTTGCACTCGTTTAAAAAAACAGATCCAACCTTCTGGTCTACATATAATATCCTTACAGGGAAGTACACTAAAACCCCCCCGTCCAATCTTAGTGTTGGAGGCCGCATCGTCACATCGGCTCAAGAAAAGGCTGAGATTCTCGCTGACCAATTCGAACAGGTCTACACGGACGCCAGCTCTGCGGTCTCGCCGATGCAGGCGGAAGTGGACAGATTCATTGCCAGCCTCAGTGTGAGAGACGAAGAACCTTGGGATCCCCTTGGGGATCTCGCTCCATATGACATCTTCCTGATTTTCAAACGTTTCGGAAATAACAAGGCTCCTGGCAGGGACGGGGTCTCGGCCTTGATGCTAAAGAAAGCATCCAATAAGATAATCTGCCAGATATTTTAAATTTTCAAATATTGCCTACGAAATTCGTATTTTCCAGTGACATGGAAGGTGGCCAAGGTCTCGCCGATACATAAGCCTGGTAAGCCCGGTGATCAGGCTTCCAGCTACAGACCCATCAGCCTGCTCTCTATACTCGGGAAGACTCTCGAGTTAGTGATCTCTTACGAAATACATAACCACTTACAAATAAATAGTTTATTGATAGATCAACAATTTGGCTTCCGTAGATCACACTCTACGCTTCATCAAATAACAAGAATTGCTCAGCAGATTACAAATGCGCTAAATACAAACAGAGCAACGGTAATGGTGTTGCTAGACCTCGCGAAAGCCTTTCATTCTGTTTGGCATCATGCTCTTGTGTATAAACTACATCGTCTCGGTTTCCACCCGAGAACAGTCTTAATGATACATAACTATTTATCTGGGAGAACCTTTTACGTCAGAGCTGATGGGTTTGCCTCCTCTACCAGAAATCAGGCAATTGTCGACTTCTTCTCGAGATGGAAGTTGTCCTTGAATGCTGGCAAGAGCGAGGCCATTGTCTTTGCCAGGAGACTTGTTAAACCTTCGAGTCCGCTCGAGGTTCAGGGCGTATTCATAAATTGGTCGAATAGAATCACCTATCTGGGTGTGATCCTGGATTCCAGACTCACCTGGATCCCAGCTATCACTGATCGAATTCAGAAGACTTTGAAGGTCGCGGGCGCGCTTAGAGTGCATACCAGTCGCTCGTCTCCCTTAAACAGAAACATCAGGCTGTCCATTTACAGAATTTGCATTAGACCGGTCCTTACATACGGCGCACTTGTATGGTGGGACTGTGTCTCGAACACCAGGAAAACCCAAGTTCAAAGGGTGCAAAACAAAATAATCAAATCCATTATCAGGGTCCCCTGGAAAACCAGTACCTTGGAGCTTTGCAGAGTGGCTGGCACTCCTCTCATCAGGGAATACGTCGAGCGCCTCATTAAGGGCTTCAATACCGACGTAGCGAATAATCAACTAATTAGAGATCTTTCTAAATTTAATAGGCATACGATCTCTTACAAAATCAAAGTTAAATTCCCATTGTTCAGCAAGTTCATGTAAATGCATTCATTTCCTGCTTAAGATTCACAAACTAACTCATGAGGCGGTGGTGGAAAGTCTGCCTCCTCTCCCCATCC